TCTGAAAACAGAGACTTGATGGATTGGATCCTTAATTTGAAAAACTTACATCAGATATATCAGAATTCATGACTGAATCAGGGATTTTGATTGGCTCATCTTTTCTAGGTGGATTTTTCGTGCTGTACACGCAACTACACCACTCACTAAGCTCACCTCCACAGATAAATCTCTTTTCATTATCGCATATCAAATTTCCTCCACATAAAGGACATTTGGCTAAGGCTCCATAAAACAGCAAATCCTGGCTGCTCAAGAAAAAAACAAAACTTCAAAATCCGAAAAATCGTTACAAATAATAATAAAAAAATAATTCTAACTATGCATGAGACTAACCATTGAGCTAGCAAGATCTCTTGAGGAGTAGAAGAATCTTGACCGTTGGTTTCAAGAACTTCTTTAATCTGATCAACGGAAAGATTCTCCTCGACCACTTTGCAAAACTCGTTATACTCCGACGCAACATCTCCGGCGCCGTCAACGGTACGACCGTTATCGTTTTCCGACTTTGCCTTCTTCTGAGACTGTTCACCTTCTTGAACCTTCCCTTCTGCTTTGTGCTTTCTCAAGTTTCCCTTCTGAAGAAACAATTTAAAATTACAACACATCAACAAAAATTAAAAAAGATCAATTGATTCGTATAACAATCAATTACTTTCTGTTCGTCTCCAGACATGTGTGCATGAGATCTCGTCTCGTGTACCTTCATTGAGCAAAATCTTTAAAAACTGACCAAAGCTGTTCTCTTGTCGTCAATGGTGAAATCACAGAAGATGAAAAGTTTTGTTTTTTTGGAGTGTTTTCAGATGTAAAAGATAATTAATATAGAAAGATGTGAGGTCCTTTGTAATAACGGTGCAATAAGAATGCTACTGTGTCTTCTCTGAACACAAACAAGTGTTCTCGAGCATGTAGGTATTGGACACGTGTCGAAATGGGTTTCTACTGTGGACAGGTGGTTTTGGTCTCCAGTTATTTCTTTGTTTTTTTTATCTCTTTACTCTCTGCATGTTGCCTTCTTCCATCCTTGTATGTGTGTGTCGTGTTATTGTTTCTATGGGGATTCGTTTATTTTTCTTCAAGTTAAGCATTCGTTTTTTTTTGTATAGTTCACTTCGGTTTTGGTTCAATTTAGTTTTAAGTTCTACAAAAATACTTAAAACCGGTTATAATTTTGGACCAATCGAGTAAAAGCCCTGATTAACCGTACCGGTCAATTATCTCCAAACGAAACCAGAAAATTTTCTTGAACCAAACAAAAAATCTTGTGAAAATAATTAGAAAATACAAAAGATAGAAATAAGATTGTAAGAACATAATGGAAAAGTAAGAATATGGATATACAATAATACACAACTGTACCTTAAAGAAAATTTCCATCTTCACACGCTTTCATAGTAAGAACATAATAGAAAAGTAAAAGAATATGGATACACAGTAATACACAACTGTACTTAAAGACATATACACACACTTTCATAATAATTTTGGTAAATCTTGATTCTTAACATTTTTTTAAGAAAATAATATTTTTCAAAATGGTATATTTGTAGCTGGAAAGTTTAAAATATTAACCATTTTTTAAGAAAATTAAGTAGTAGACATATATGTTACTGTTATCAATTTATCATAATCTGATTGAAAATTACATATTTTGTCGGATGTTAAGAATTATCCTACTGCTATATATCATCGACGACTTTAGAAGAAAAAAATGTATTCAATTGCAAAAAACAAAAAAGGGTGGGATTATATGACAGCAATTAGGCATATCAACGTCACAATAATTCGTGTTACTGTCTGCTATACGTCAGATTCCAATCTGACGGTGACTCTGTCTCTCTTTTACTATTTTCGTTATAAAACTCAGTTTCAGAAAAAGAAGAGAGGAATCGAGACGACTCTCTAGATCTTTACAAAAATATGGAACTTCTTCTATAAAAATAAGAACAATAATTTCACCTAAAACACTACGAAGCATAACTACATCTCAAATCTTATCTCACTTTCTTCCTAAGGTTCCTTCTCTCTCTCTCTCTTTTTCTAATTCTGATCGGATATCAAGTTATGTTTCAAAACTCATAATTATTATTCAGAATCCTTAAACTCAAGCCTTGGTTGTTTCAGGAATATGATGCTTTCAGTGATCTTTGCGATTTTCGTCTGCCTTATAGTCTACATTTACCGATCAATGAAGCCTCCACCACCGCGAATCTGCGGCGTTGCTCACGGTCCTCCGGTTACTTCTCCTAGAATCAGGCTCAGTGATGGAAGATATATTGCTTATAGAGAATCAGGAGTTGATAAAGCCAATGCTAATTACAAAATTATTGTCGTTCATGGCTTTAATAGCTCCAAAGACATGGAATTTCCCATCTCTAAGGTACAC